GAAGTGTTGCATGATCTTTTCGCGTAGCTGCCCACTGTCGGGGACGAACACTCAGCCTCGATGTAGTAAAAGGCCGTTGTGCAGCTCATAATCAGCAATGGTCTCTCCTGCCTCGATCTTTTGACGCACTTCCTTGCAATGAGTATCATTCTCTTGTGCCCTTCGTACTTCCTCCCAAATGGTCCATGTCGGTCCAGTGATAGCATCAAGCGCAGCTACATCTGTTCGTCGAGATAGGGCGTCTGCTACGGCATTCTGTCGACCTGGCCGGTAGACTATCTCAAAGTTGAACCCCATAAGCTTCGAGATGAACTTCTGCTGCTCGGAAGTAATGATCCTTTGCTCGAGTAGATGCTTGAGTGGTTGTTGGTCGGTCACAATCTAAAATCATTTCCCCAGCAGATAGGGCCTCCAGCATCTTACAGCTTCGACAACAACTAGCATCTCTTTGACGTACATAGACCCAATCGAGTCGTGTCTAGTGCCTTGCTGAGATAGGCTAAGGGTCGCCCTTCCTGCACTAGTACAGCTCCAATTCCAATATCACTAGCATCTGTTTGTACCTCGAACAAGACATCAAACCTTGGCATTGCGAGTACTGGCGTTGTAGTCATGGCGCTCTTCAGTTTCTCAAATGCCTCCTCGCTAGCCTTGGTCCATGTGAACCCTCCTTTCTTGGTCATCTCCGTAAGTGGCTTGGCAATGGTTCCGTAATCCTTTACAAACTTCCGGTAATAGCCCGTGAGCCCTAGGAACCCTCTCAGTTGCATGAGACTCGTTGGCTTTGGCCAGTCGACCATAGCCTCTATCTTCCGTGGATCAACCGTCACGCCATTATGAGATATGAAGTGGCCTAAGTACTCGACCATCTCCTACCTGAATGAACACTTGGACGGCTTGATATGGAACGAGTTAGCCTCCAAGACTTCAAGCACCACTCTCAAATGCTCCAGGTGTTCAGCCCATGACTTCGAATATATCAATATATCATCAAAGAAGACTAGAACAAACTTATGTAGATGCTCCTTGAAGATAGAGTTCATAGCAAACTGGAAAGTGGATGGGGCGTTGCATAGCCCAAACGGCATCACCAAATACTCATAGTGTCCCTGATGCGTACGAAAAGCTGTCTTCAGTATGTCGGCCTTGTGGAGTCGAATCTGATGATAAACAGCTCTCAGATCGAGCTTCGAGAAGTATCGTGATCCAGCTAACTCATCAAGCATGTCGTCGACACTAGGAATAGGAAATCGATCCTTGATAGTCGCGGTATTTAGAGCTCAGTAATCAGTACAAAACCTCCATGTGCCATCTTTCTTTTTAGCTAACAGTACTGGTGAAGAAAACGGACTCTTGCTATGCTGAATTAACCCCGACTCTAGCATCTCAGCTACTTGCCTTTCAATCTCAGTTTTCTGGAAGTGAGCGTACCTATAGGGGTGGACGTGTACTGCATGCTGCTCATTAACCAGGGGTATGCGGTGGTCGAACTCCCGGTGAGGTGGTAGGCCCTTGGGTTCGCCTAGCACTCCTTCGAATTTATCAAGAAGCTTGCACACATCGGCTTGCTGCTGTCCGGCTTCTTCCGTGCGCGGCTTCTTATTTTCGACCACTACTGCGTATATTGGACCGCCACTTCGCCAAACTCTTTCGATACTCTTCAACCCAACTTCTTTAGTTCCTTTCTCAGTGCCTGTGCTCAGAGTGACTTGCCGACCTCGAGATTTTAACTCCATAACTCTAGTTCGGTAGTCGGTGGTCACCTTGCCTAATCCTTCGAGCCATTGGACTCCTAGCACGACATCAGGTCCAACTAGGGGTAAAGCATAGAGATCAGCTTTTACCGTGACTCCTTGGAACTTGATCGACACCTTTTGAAAAGATTCAGTGCATTGCAGCCTCTCACCATTAGCTACCCGTACCTCAAAAGGCTCAATCTTCGTGGTAGGTAAATTCAGATTCTGAGATAAATCAGCGTTAATGAAGTTGTGTGATGACCCGTGTCTACGAGCACCATCACTCTACAATCCTTGACCCAAGCTGGCAGTCGCATCGTTCTTGGCCCTCTAATCCCTGCCATTGCGTGCATCGAAATTTCTGCTTCTTCGTCGGGCACTTCAACCTCCTCCTCTTGAGGTGGTTCTTCCTCGACCTCAGATCCTTCCTCATCAGAATTAGCAACTTCGATCACAAAAGCTGGCTTACATTGATGGCCTGGCGTAAATTTCTCTTCGCATTTGAAACATAGGCTCTTCTCTCGTCGACGCTTGACTTCCTCGGGAGATAGCCACTTGACTACTGGCCCCGGTGGTCGAGCGCTGATGGCCGGTCGTGCGCCCGCGGTTGCATGGATCGGGCCCGTGCATCGGTTATCGGTGAATCGGCTGTCCGCCCGTCCCCTTCGTGTCGCAACTAGATGGTCTTCGCGGCATCGGGCTATCTCCATGGCTGTGTGCATCGTGTCTGGCCGCTCCAGTCGGACTTCTGCGGCTAGATCGAACTTGAGCCCACCTATGAAGGCTCCCATCAGTGCGTCCTCGGACTAATCTCGCACGCGGCAGGCTATGCGTTCAAACTCCTTGATGTACTCGCGCAAGCTGCCTGTCTGGCGTATTCGTGCGAGAGCCTCATTGTAGTTATGGTAATCGGACATACCAAAGCGTGTGAGCAATTCCCTCTCAAAGTCAGCCCATGTAATGATCTGTTGCCGCTTACGGTAGATCCTTGAGAGCCATTGCCACCATACATTAGCCTCACCATCTAGATAGAATGCTGCGTACCTTACTCGATCATGGCCTTCGGTTTCGTTGAGTTCGAAGTATTGTGCAATTCGGTTGAGCCAAGCCTCCGGATCACTACCCGTGAATGTATTGGATGCCTGCGATCGCTGGTCAAACTCTTCCTCGTACTCGTAGCCTTCGCGTCGTCGTTCCTCGTCATGCCGCTTGCGCGCGCGCCGCTCCTCGCGTTGATCCTTGCGCCGTGGTGATGGCGTGCGCTCGGCGTGCTCGGCGTGTCGGCGGGAACACGCACAATACTTCCTCTAATCGCTGTTCGAGTCGTGTCACGGCGGCGTTGGTGTTGCCTTTGCCTTCGTCGAGCGATCCAAACCTTCCCTCCATAACTTCGCTCATACTTCGCATCTGGATGTCGAGATTACCGATCTTGTCCTTCATCTCTTTATTGGTCATTGCTTTCTTCTCTTTCCTACGCTCTTTGCTTCGAGGACTCGTGATGATGATGATACATATATATATATATATATATATTTGATAAGGGGGACGAAAATAAGAAAAGAAAAAAAAGGGAATGGGGTAGAAGAAAAACACACGATCTAACACCTCTCAGTGAAAGCACCAATGATGAAGATCGTGTGTTTCGATTGTCGATAAGCCGTTAGACCGCGCCTTGAATCGCCGATAGGTGTTCTTCGAGCCACAACAGCGCCTCTTGGAATGAATAAAATTGCAATAGAATTTTGGTGAAAAACTAAATCAAAGTGGAAGAACAAAAGTTCAGATTTCTATTGATAAAATTGATGATTAAAAATAACATGGGGATTGGGCCTTTATATAGGCACAAAATATGTCTAAGCCTAATCTACCTAGGGAACTAATAAAGCAATAAAATATTAAGTAGCCTAATTAATCAGATCTCATAATGTAAGATGGAAACAACTTTTCTTGCACTCCACTCAACCTCTCTCTCTTCGGCCCTTTTCACGCGACCGCCCTACGCCCAACCGCCCGCGTCGCCTAGTCCTTGCGGCACTAGGGCTTGCCGCCTTAGCGCGCGCGTGCAGTGGCGCCCGGCGTGCTGCGCACGCCAACGCTGCCTGCGTCGTCCTCTCGCGCATGGTCACTTGCCAGTACGCACTCCTTGAGGACAGCGGCTTCGCGCCCCGCGCGTCCTTCTTCATCGGGCGACAACGCGTACGCCTTCGCTCTCGGCTGCGTCCCCGTGCGCGTGCTGCCCCGCCTTCCCGCATGCCTCGAGGCATGCGGCCTCGTCCGCTACGCGTACTTCCTCCACACCTGATCTTTCTGCGCGCACACCCTTCAACCCCGCGCTATGCGCGTCCTGCCCACCTACGCCACGCACGCCAGCCGCGCACATCGCCCGCACATCAGCGTGCGGTCTATCTTCGCCCGTTCTGCGCGCACTACACTCCAGTGCGCGCACTTCTGCCGTCACCCGTGCTTGCCTCTTGCGTGCATGGTAGGCCCGACTCGCGGCGTTCTTGAGCTGCCTAGCCACTTCCGTATCACGTGCGCGCTGGGGCGCTGGCAGCAGTGCACAGGGCCCGGCAGACAAGCAGGGTTTCAAATAGGACCGACCGATTTCAAAAAGTACTCGACCAATTTACTTGAAATTTTAACACATTAAAATAGACACAGAAAGGCATATTTTCACAAAGTTTCAGACCCAACACTTCAGTTTAACGTAAGCAACCAATTTATACAAAAAGGCGATGCAAATCTGAACTTTCTAGTTCACCGGGCAATCCTTTGAATTTTCCAACGAAATTTGAACACAACACATATACCATTAGATTACTAACACTAACCAAAAATCACAGCAAAACACCAAGAATCTGATTTTTAATGATTTTTTAAAGTTTCTGCCCAGAATTTCAAATTGACATTTGATCTAGCTACATACATCATTTTGACTTGAAATTTTTACACCACATATAATACTATCAGAGGGTCATACAGTTCAATTGTTACAGCAATCGGACGAATAAAAAATTTATAATGATTTTTCAAACGTTCAGCAGCAATGCCCAATTCAAAAATGCATAAATGACAAATTACTCAACAACAACGTTTAAGGCCTTCACCATGAGGCCGAAGACTTCAAATGTTCCAATAATCCACAGCCCTAATCACAATTTATGCACAATTCACATGCTTTCACAATTAACGAACATAACATATAATTAAATGATCATAATTCAAACCCTAACATGCAATTCTCCTCAAGGCTTGATACTTAACATATACACACATAAAAATAAGGGGGTTTTCAGCCTTGTACCTTTCTCGGGGAGATTTGCACGAAAGAGGGTTCGAACGGAGGTGAGAAGGGGCTACTGCGATTGCGGGAGAAGGCCTGCGGGCTTCGCGGGGGTGCTGGACGGCGACAGGGAGCACGAACAGCGACGGCCTGGAACGCACGAACGACTGCTGCACACGAACAGGTTGCGGTGAGGAGCAGGTCGATGGAGGCGGGCAGCGATCGCGACGCTCGACGCTGAGGAGGACGGAAGCGATGGACCACGATGGGGGTGACACACGGCGATGGTACGATGGTGCTCAACGGCTGAGGGCAGCGGTTCGGGGCGGCGATCACAATCGGGAAAAAGAGAAAAAGAAAAAGAGTACGAGAGGGAGATGAGACAAGAGAGTGGCTGCGAGAAAGGAGAAAATAATGACGAGCTATGGGAGTTCTCTCATGTATTTATAGGGCTAGGGTTTGGGAGACTTCCCATCCAAGTAACTTGCCAAAAGTGAACAAGAGAGAGAAGGGTGAGGGGGTTCGGCCGGGCTGGGCGCGGTCGCGGGCCTTCGGGCCTTGGGCGCGGGCGCGGCTAATTGGCTTAACCGAAAGCTCGGTTAACACTTAAGAAAATACTACGGGCTCGGTTCGACACAAATTAAAATAAATTAAAATAATATTTATAATTATACAAAAATATCCACATTTTTAATATTTATGAAAATTCACAAAAAGGCACATAAAATTCATCTAGGCAATTAGACAATAATATAAAACAACAATTATCAATAACAAAAATTAATATTAATGGCAACAATAATAATAAAATAATAATAATAATAATAATAATAATAATAATAATAATAATAATAATAATAATAATAATAATAATAATAATAATATTAATAATAATAGAATCCAATTTATTCATAAACGAACGGGGCGTTACACTCAGCATGGTCGTGCGTGCTCGGCCACCACTTCACGTGGCTCCACCCAGCCAGGGCCGGCGTTCGGTTCAAGGTTTCACAAAAAGGTTACAATCTCAGTTCACCAAAAGAAATGGTTTTACAAATTAACGAGAATTTTGGGTCCAATATATATTTCAGTCGTCTCACAATTTCAAAGGTTTCAAATGTCTCAAAGATAGCAAGGGGCATGTTCGAGCTCCAAGTCCACTTCCTTCTCTAATCCAGTGAACAACCTACGATATGGGTCGGGAAAAACTTCCCGAAAGAAACGAGGATCGGTTCCTCAGCCAGAAACAATCCCAATCCCGGCGGTCACTACCGAATAATGAATGTTTAGCTCATTCGACTCTTCCAACTCACAGTGTCGGTCGTCACGTCAGCTCTCGGTTTAAGCAGCTAACCGTGCCGGCAGTCTTAAATGAGCTTCTAAAGATACAATGAGCGAACACCAAAGGTGAAGGTGGCTCTGCACTCCATGATGCGCTTGCTCCGGGCTCGACAATCCTCCTTAAAAGATTTCTGTATAATCTTCTAAGGTGGAAAGATACACTCTTTAACATGCATCATATCACTCCATCTTCTTTATCGAACCGATTGGTGTTGACTTCTGCTCCCGTACGTTCGTCTTGATGCCGAGGATGAATAATTATTGTCTTCCTCGAGGGCAGATTATTCATGAAAGTGAAGATAGAAAATTGTGCCCTCGAGTCTTCGTGATAACTTAGCGATGACATCCAAACGGAACTCACATACTTTGCAAGCGAATAGAGATAAGCGGAAACAAAAGATGCTTAATCTCACTTGCAATCGGGTTTTTTAAAACAAGGCCAAAACCCAACGACACAAAGGTGGGGTTTGAACACGACTATACCCTAGAAAAAACGAGAAAAATGACTGGGCCGATTGTAAACCTCCGGTATCAATTGCATTCCCACTAACAGCAACGTTGCTCGTTCTCTTGAACTTTCCGCATCGAGCTAAAGGCATCACAACACAGGCTTTACAAGACAAGGGCCAACAGAAAAAAAAATTTAATTATCAATGCTAAATCCCATCTGCAGTTCGATGCCGGGAATGGGAAGATCAAGCGGAATTCTCAAACTACAAATACTGAGCAACGAAAGAAGCTTCAAGCACAATTCAAAATCGTTGGCCATACAAAAAGGGAATAAGCAGCGGCTTGCAAAAGTCTATAAGGAGACAAAAATTTAGGCAAGGAAACAAGACTACTTTGCCTCCACGACTCTACGATTCACGGCCTCCATCACTGGTTCAAGCTGTTTCTCGGTAAGTCCTGCTGCTGCAAGGAAATCGTTCGCGGCTTAATATGATGAAGGGAATTTTCGCAAGAGAATAGGTCACTGTCGCCTTCCTCGAGACTTAGCCACTCTTGAGAGTTGCGACTGTGTTACGTATCAAGTTTTACCACCATGCCTCGGGGTCGAATAATGGCATAAATAAGGCGTCCAGACTCTACTCCTGGTTGGCATTCTACTGGGTTATATACGCATCTAATGGTCCTATCGACGACGGTTACAGACTCTCGAATACCCATACAACGGGGACTTCTTCGGTCATCTGCTCCCTTCAGTTAAGCCTTCTCCTTTCGAGATGGCATTGCGAATGGTCCTCTCTTGAGGACAGCAAGTCTTATTGCAAAAGCACTGCTATAAACATAATTTAGCTCGATAACATTATATTGAATTTTCCAACAGAAAATTTCTCAAGTCGGAACTTAACTCTATACCTGTTGGGTTCGCTAGTACGTACGGGCGAAACGCAGCGGAATAAAATTTTTCAAAACAAGTATTTATCATATAAATACACAACCCATATATACATAAAGCGAATTAACAGATCGTCATCATTAAAAACATGTAATAATACAAATTTTGATTTGTTACAAGAAATATCAAATATTACCTTTTTCTCTAACTCTTTCTAAGACGACGGTGTTTGAGAAAATCGATTCCCGGTTTGGTAACGATCACTTCGTGTTGCTCGCTTTAGGAATCCAGATGTCTTCCATCTAAGAGTATCCACTGTTTGAATCCGACACCGATATAACTCCTTCGCTAGTAGAAACTATCCGGTTTTATAATTAGTATAGGAATATATATTTGAGGAGAATTACACAAGAACTCTTTCTTGTTACAACACTTGAATTAAACACTAACACTTTAGCTCTCAATACTTGAATCAAATTCTAGCAAATATACTAAACTTTTTAGTAATAAAATATATATGTCTTGTATAACTTTTACAAGAAATAATAAAAAGTTTTTAATAACTTTCACAAGTCAAAAAATCTTTTATCATTTCTACAAGTTAATACAAGAATATAATAATGAGCAAGATCCTATCTTCTTCCATTATTATATTATTATTATTATTTAATCTTTAATCAATATTAAAAATCAATAATAATAATAAAAAAATAATTTTAAACTCTTTTAAAATCATTTGTAAACATATATATTCCATATTTAAAATTCTCCTCATATAATAATCATATTATTATTTGGATTTGAATTTTAAAATCTAATTTTAAAATCCAACTATTAATTTAGTAATTCCATTAATTACTAAATTAATATCCAAAAATACAATTAATCAATCTAATTGATTAATTTAATATATTCCTTTAATTGACATCTAATCAAAATTAGATTTTGTCAATTAATTCTAACTCTTTAGAAATACTAATATTTGTCTTCGTACAAACATTGGTGTGACCTTTTAGGTTCACAAATAATACTAGTAGTGGGCTTACAACTCTTTGTAATTTGAGTTAATCATATTAACTCTTATTCTCGAATTAACTCCTTAATTCAAGAACCCACATATCATGGGAACATCTAGCAAGTAGCATGAATCTAGTATTAAGTGAATAGCGAGTAAACCTATTTCGATTACAAGTCCATACATGTAAAATCCTTTCGACATCCAATTTCCCGATTAAATCTTGGGTATGATTTTGTCGAAACCCAAATTGATTTAATAACTATGATTCCATTTCAAGTTTAGTAATTCGTTTATGAATCCCTATTCATCCCGCCTTGGACAAGGACTTTGAATTACTAACTATGAAACACATAGGAAATTCACTTATCTTCATAAGTGTCGAATCCTTTGTTGGCCACTGACAAACTTCCATACATATTAATATAATACCTAAAATATCCCTTTATACGATTGTGCTAGCAACCAAAAGGATAAATTAAAGTAGAATATAATATGCACAAAGTTACCATCGTGCCTCAAGTTTAAGGATTAGTCATGTACTATTGTAACATGAAAATTCTTATGCGACAAGAAAAATCTTTCATTAATAATTTTCATATGGTCATATTCAATGAACTTGTTCTCTAACAAGCACTCATATATATGTACTTGCGTCCCACGCTAATGTTGATGGAATGCAACATTCTTGTCCAACAAGCATACTTCATATGTGCAAGTCTTTTCCAGATTATTCGATATCCCATTTCAAAATATCCTACGACTTGGAACTGTATTTAAGATCACAGCTGTCAAGGTATTTTCCATGATCACCATCTCTATGCGCAACCATACCTTATAATCATAAGTGATCTTGGGATTTTATCTTAAGTGCAATTATAGGATAAAAGCTTACTCTTAAGATAAAGTAATGCCTTATTAATAATATAATTCCAACAGATTATATTTACAAGTAGAATACGTCCAATCCGATTGGAACACCGGGTATCCTACTCTAACAATCTCCCACTTGCCCTAGTTCCAATCACTCATGTATCTTAGACCCATCTTCTCAAGATGTCCTTCGAACACTTTTTGTGATAAGGGCTTAGTCAAGGGGTCTGCTATATTTTCTGCTGAGTCGACTCGCTCCATCACGACGTCGCCTCTACCAATGATTTCTCTAATCAAATGGTATCGTCTCATAATGTGCTTGGATCTTTGATGAGATCTTGGCTCCTTTGCTTGCGCAATAGCCCCATTGTTATCACAATAAATCATTATTGGATCAACAACAGATGGTACTACACCCAACCCTTGGATGAAGTTCCTTATCCAAACAACTTCCTTTGCAGCATCAGATGCAGCAATATATTCAGCTTCTGTTGTGGAGTCAGAAATTGTTTCTTGTTTGGAACTTTTCCAACTAACCGCTGCTCCATTCAGAGTAAACAAGTAACCAGACATGGAATTAAAGTCATCTTTATCGGACTGAAAACCAGAATCAGTAAAGCCTTCTAGGTTCAGTTCTCTATTTTCGTACACCATAAAGATATCCTTAGTCTTTCTCAAGTACTTAAGAATCATCTTAACGGCTTTCCAGTGTTCTTCACCTGAATTAGACTGATATCTGCTCGTTACACTAAGTACATGAGCCACATCAGGTCTTATACATAACATCGCATACATAATGCTACCAATAGCTGATGCATAAGGTATATGACTCATCCATTCTCTTTCTTCAGGTGTATTTGGAGACATCGTCTTAGAAAGTGAAACCCCATGACTCATTGGAATATATCCACGTTTGGATTCTTCCATGCTAAACCTTTTTAGCACCTTATTTATGTACGTTGACTGGGATAGTCCAATCATCCTTTTAAATCTCTCTCTATAGATTTTTATCCCAAGGATAAAAGATGCTTCTCCCAAGTCTTTCATGGAAAACTGTTTTGACAACCATGTCCGAGTTGATTGCAACATCCCTACATCATTCCCAGTGAGTAAGATGTCATCAACATAGAGTGCAACAAATACAACTGCATTTCCATTAACCTTTCTATAAACACATGGTTCATCCGGGTTCTTATGAAAATCAAACGTTTTGATTGTTTCATCAAACCGAATGTTCCAACTCCTCGAAGCTTGTTTAAGTCCATAAATGGACCTTTGAAGCTTACAAACCATTTGTTCGCTCCCACTGGATATGAAACCCTGTGGCTGTTTCATATAGATGTCTTCCTTAATGTTTCCATTAAGAAAAGCAGTCTTCACATCCATTTGCCATATCTCGTAGTCATAATACGCCACTATGGCTAGCAATATCCGAATAGATTTAAGCATTGCTACTGGTGAAAAAGTTTCCTCATAATCAACACCTTGTTTTTGAGTACAACCTTTAGCAACCAATCTTGCTGTAAAAGTATTCACTTCTCCATCTACACCACGTTTTCGTTTGTAAACCCATTTACAACCTATGGGTACAATACCCTGTGGTGGTTCAACCAAGATCTATACCTTGTTTGAATACATGGAGTCTATTTCGGATTTCATATGTCACACCCCGCTTTTCCATAAATATCAGAGTGCATTTTTCGCAAAACTTTTCTT